GAACCGCTCAGCCTGTGGCTCCAAAAGACCCAACGCTCCCTCTGGAACAATATTTTCTTCCCTCGTTTTAAAGCAATCCACAATTATAGGAAGAAAAAAGCAGCACTGAAATCACAACTGCCCCAAGCTGCATCCTTCTACAAGCACCACCTCAGACGCGCAGGCAGGAGCGAGGTTGGGAGGAGCAGCGTGGACGAACGACGGACATTTTTAGCTCAGCACTCAGCTCAGAGCAGGCCAGGCTTTAATGGACAGAACAAGTCACACAGCTGGAGACGGCCGGCAGCTCTTCCAGCCTGGGACCCTGAGGAATTGCCAGTGCCAAAGGAGCTGAACTGGGGTTAGCAACAGCGGGAGATTTACTGGGAAATATTCCCCTGGGCAGATTGCTTCTCTGTGGGTGATTTGGCAGCTGGACACCCGTGGACGGTGAGCCTCCGCGAGAGCCGCAGCGGCTGGTAAACACCTCACGAGAGGTGTGAGACCAGGAATCGCATGCAGTAGCAGGAAGGAGGAACCTGGGCAATGAAGCACAACAAAGGCCTGTTTTATTCCCGGATTACTTGGTCGGAGCTTTTGGCGCATACCAGATCTGATCCTTCAGCCAGTTTTCTGCAGAGGGATGGGGTAGGTGGTTAGATTCACTTGCAGCTGGTAGGCTTACTGGGAGAGCGTGGTCAGTTTGCTCACAACCATCCCCTGCACACTACACAGAACCTAAACCCATCACCGGTAAGGAAATGACTATGTTATAGGGAAATAAAAAAAGATTTCTTGGGCTGAATGTCCACCTCTCCTACTGTAGGACCTATCAAAGACTACAACTGATACTGCACTCGGTCTTCAGCCGGAACGGCGAGGATCAAACGACTCCCCTGTCTGCGCGAGGAAATGCTTAACATTTCAAATATTTACACAGAAGGAAAATCTGATCTGAAGGAATGAAGCAGTTGGAGGTTTTTCTACCTCAAGGTCTCCAGTGTCATTTGACAATTTGCATTTTCGAACAAGGCCCCAAGTGTTCAAAGAAACACGCTTGTGTCTCATAGAAAGCTCTGCTCTTACTTGTAGACGTTGGTGTTGTATTTCCTCTCGCTCGGAAATCCAAACATGCCACAGACAACTCGGGAATTTTTCATGGTCCAGTGCTTGTCGCAGATCTGCTTCCAAGTCCCCTCATCTTTCACCTCCACGTAACCCTCCGTGACAGGCACCCGCTTGCGGTAGGTGGCGAGGATGGCACGGATCCTGATATCTTCCACCTGGATGTTCATGTTCTGTAAGCATAAAAGAAACTCAAGTGATGCTGGCTTGCAAGGAAACTGGTTGCGTAGCTTCAAGGTGGGGAGCAAAACCCAGTCCTGCTCAGGGCTACGGCTGAACAGAGGGAGGCGGAAGGGAAGAGCTGTTTAGGAAAAGACACAACAGGGAAGCAAACAAACCTTTCCACCTTGTGCAAATCCATCCTCTGCCCTACCAAAGAGGATGCTTTTTCTCATTAAAAAATAAATAAAAAGGCGTTATTTTACAAATGGCTATGTAATAAATCTCCTTTGTTACCTAAATTCATTGAAGTACTTGTTTCAGAAGCAGAGTAATCTTAATTTTTTCTTGGCCACTGCGGAAGTGAACCGAGCTCAGCTTTGCTAGGGCCACCTGAGTGCTGGCAGGGTGCAGGGAGGGACGCTGGGGCTCATCCAGCCCCATCTCATCCCTTCCCACCCCGCCTGGGCAGGCACGGTGAAAGCTGGGATGCCGATGTGCTGACACTGGCATTTCACTGCTTCCCCAAGCCGGGCTTCTCCTCCAATGGAAGCGTTACGTGGGACAGCAAATGAGTCACGAAGGTTGAATGGATTTCACATTTGGAGCCTACGTGAGGACACTTTGCAAACAAACCTTGCAGGGACCCAAAGCAAAGGCTGACTGGAAAATATCCACTGTGGCAAACAATTACAAAAGAGCTACTGAAAATTTTATGACTTGCTTCCAGGAGACCTATTCTTGTCAAAAACGTGTAAACCCACATGGTTCTGCTAGCGGTTACATCAGAACTGAGGAATCCTCCCCTCCCCTTGCTCAAATTCAATCACTTGCAAAAGAAAAATGCCCAGAGCTTTAAAGAGACACGGGCCTCTGCTCACCACGCAGCGGCACACACGTATCGACACCGGGGAGATCGCAGCAGGACGTGCAGAGTCCTGCGAACCACACATCTGGCACATCCACTCTCCGGC